GCCTGACCATTTCCACTGAGATCAGGACTTTCCTACTTTTCAGCCTGCAGGCTATAAGGAGGGATTTGGAAACAGGACTATGTAGGCTCTCCTGGGAAGATTTCTTGCTACTATGTCAAAGCTCCAGTTCTCTCTATAGGACTGAAAAAATGAGGGCTAATTCAGCCTCTGCAGCTTTCCCCCCAGCATGCTTTGGCCCTTTCCTCACGCCCGCTGGCCAGCTCCTACTTAATAAGCACAAGCTCAAGCTTAAAAAGAAAACCGAGACAGGGAGGCTAAACATCACCATCATCTCAAAACACCGAGTATCTACCACAAAAGCAACGTCAGCATGCTTTGGATATGCGCTGCTCTGTGTGCACTGCCGCTGTGAGATGCATCTGTGCCGGAGGAGGGATTCCCCCCAGGCCTGGTTACAGCAAGGGAAGAGCTGGCACTGGCAAGCCAGCCCGCGTCCGCTGAGACATGGGACCATGCTCTCTGTCTGCCCTTGAACTCACCTCCGGTTTGATTGTCGCAGATTTGGTTCCACTTCTTCCAATGAGGTACGCTTTGCTTTCTTAATAAAACCCCTTGATTCTCACCTGCTGCATCCAGGGCCGTATTTCTTCTTGCTATGTTTTTCAGGTTTTCACAGGAAAAGATTTTATCCATTCAGTAGCAAGTACACTCGCTAACCTGGCTGCCAGCACATCATTACCACATTGATCCTCTGGGTCAGTTCTCCAAAGGTAAGAGGCTCCAAGAGAGCTGCTCTCTCACTGTTTGACTTTGGACTGATTGTTTGCTGAAAAACACTCCGAGTTTTATAAAGCTATCTTCTTACAATAAAGACCAAATGGGGCTGAAGTTGTTACTGTCTCGGTAGTGAAATGATCTCTGTGGTCTGAACAGGACAAAACCACCCCTTAACACCAACATTATAAAAGGAAACAAAAGAGCTAAAGCATTCGGATAATTGCTTTAGAGGAGCTGAAAGATCCTGGCAGCGTGGAATAGAGGGTGATTTACGACAGACAGGCACAGTTCCACACTCTGGCAAGCGTGGATCATTTCTGCTTCATTCAGTAGCATTTCCGTCGCCTACAGTGTGTGCCAGTCCGCCCAATCAGCCAGTGCTACCACTGGGAAGAGGACAGATCCTCATGATGCCAAAATGCATTGCAGAACTCTGGTCCAAATGAGGCTGGAAAGATGGATCTGCACGTGTAATCACAATGTCACTTCAAAATCTGCCACTTTTGATAGCGCAGATGAAAAAAATCCACTTTACTTCCAAGGGGACACCGGACAGGTTCTTAGGGAAAAAACCCAACTCTACTGAGGGTTAGACTAAATTCATGGAAACCACATGGAGCTTCGGAAATCCTGGATGGGAGTTGAAACAGTTTGAGAGCAGGAGGGAAGCTGAAGGAAGTTCCTAAACTCTTCCCCAGGCATTTTCTTTCAGCCAGTGCTGGAGCCAGAAGCCCAGGCGAGACGGACCTTATGCCTGAGCTGGCATGGCAGCTTCTACATTCCTAGGACAAGGCTTTGCGTTCTTTACCCTGATGTCCACCCCATCTGCAGGTGAACAACCATCCTGCTGCAAACTACTGCTTGATGGCATGTTTCAGGCAAGAGGTTTCTCTACACTGCAGATGGTTTAAGACCTTCAACACTGCAAGAACTTCTTTTTCTTTGGCTCTCTGACAAAACAAGAGTCTTACTCCAAATGGCATCACTAAGTCACGGTTTGACATCAGGGAAGTCCAGGCATTTCTTTTATTTGTCTAACAGCCTCACTTATCTATCGCCAGACAGAATAAAAGTGGATGTGAATTTTTATTCACATTGACGATGTTAAAATTAAGTTATAGACGATAAATCAATGTATTCTCTAAGTTACAAAAGTAAATGATTAGTGACACATGGTTTTGGCATAATAGGCCTCATCAAGGAAGAGACTTGCCTGTAATTGTGACATTGTGATAACAAAACAGGTTGTAGTTTCACAAACCCAGTAAGTCAGCATCTGTTAGTTTGGTGACTTTCCTCCCAGCCATTTATTCTCACCCCCATGCCCATGCCTGCTCCCTCACTGTACAGAAACCTTTCTGTCTTCCTAAAGCTGGGTTTGCTGCATTGTTGAACCAGAAGGATTAAACTTAATGGAGATACAAGCTCCACAGCACATTACAGCTTCCTTCTTAACCTGCTACTGCCTATTCCTCTTTGTACATAGGCAATAAGGCTTCGATTTTCTCTCCGTACCACAGGAGCTAGCAGTCTGTCGTGTCTACCTCAGCTAACACTGTTTTCTGCTCCATGGGAGACTAAATCCTATACCTTCAAGTCTTTTAATTGGCTAAAAGAATAAAACCGGGAGCAATATTGTCAAAGCTGCATTGAGTTTGAATTTTGCTGCATCTAGACAAACCTGATGAAAGGACTCTTGAGGGTGAAAGTGTGTTGATTTTTCTCAATTATACCAAGTGGCCTAATAAGAGAGATTATCTCTCCCTAGGAATCTTGCCTCTATAATGGCAAAACACACTGGACTACTTGCCCACCTATTACAGACAGAGGAAGGAAGCCTTACTTACAATACTAATAACCTGGGAATTAGAGATGTAAAACTGAATCACAGCAACTACAGGAACTGACCACAGTGGACTATTTCTCCCTAGTTTGAGAGCAAACATGGCTCAGAACCACCACCAGGTAAGAAGACACAAAGCTTCAAAAGAAAGTGATGGAAATATCTTGAATTGAGTCAAGGAAAAAAGCAGTAATTAATACAAATAATGTTCTTGTTATGCTGCCTTAATAATTAAGTATATTTTAAATGCAAAATACCTATGCTGAAGAACATGTACAAATTCTTGGTGTGTTTAGTGACAAATAGCCAGTGAATGTTCAGGCCTGATTTGCTAAAGAAGCTGACGCACCTGACATTAATCTCGGGTCTTGACATGTCTCCAGCACTTCAGTTAGTGAGAGTCACGCAGTCAAACATATAACCTCACTATCGATGAAGGACCTGGGCCAAGGGGGCCTGTTTACACAGATCTGAGCCTCTTCTCAAGGTTAGAACCGCTTGTCATGTAAGCCCGCACTCTGGATCAGGCTGGAGCTCCTGAAGGAAAGCTTGATGTGTCTTGACACAGTCCAAGCTTTTCTTCCTATGTTCTGGACGGATAAGAATGGGCAAGACTGAGTGAGCTCACTCTAATAGCAGCAGCAGAGATAACTCAACCTTGGGATCTCCTAAACAAAAAGTGTAGACATTTTGAATGAAAGCCAGCGGTACGGACAGAGAGCCCGCTGTTAATCTCACAGTGTAGCTACAGCTAGAGCAACTGGGTGACTTGCCCAAGATGATGACAAGTAACCTCAGCAAGCCAGAAAAGTGAGCCAACAAGCCCTCCCTTCAGAGTCTAGCAATGTTTGTATCCATCTCTGCCAGCAGAGATTGCACTGGAGCACTGTAGGACTGGAAGTGTCATGAGTTAGAATGGAGGAATACAACCTTACTCCTTCTGCAGGACCTGTAGGAAAGGCATCTCAGGAGCCATTTAACATACCTGGAGCTGCTTCAGTAGTTCCCAGCAGGTGAGAGGCAAAAAGAGGACAGACAGCTAAGGGAGGCTTCCAGCTTACACAGAGATAAGGAGAGTAAAGATTGGGATGGAGACCGCGTAGTCAGCAAACAGCATGCTCAGAGTATGCAAAAGTCAGAGGATAATTATCTGCCAGAAGTAGTTTACTAAACACTAGGAAGAGACCTACAAAAGCATAGAAAGCAATCCAAACAGCACAGCAGAGAAAACATCTCAGGGATTTGAACTGCTTGCTTTAAGTCTGACAAGCTAATGCTGAATCTCCACTAAGTGTAATTAATAATAACAAAGCTCTTCCTAGAAAAAACTCTACTTGCACAAAATCTACAGCTTTTATAATAAAGCTTTTCGCTCCTAAAACTGGTATTAAGAGCTGACTCTGACTGCAGCCAGTACCCACATCACTAGGTTATGATGCCCTCTGAGGTGAAGCATCACTGACAGTTATACAGTCACTTCCAAAGCTCTAAAAACTGTGTACAAACTTTTCCTTGAGAAACGGCAATGTGAAAATCCTTAGTGAATATTAGCGTTTCTAGCACTTATCAAGAACTTTCAAGTTTTATGAAAAACAGGAACTGAGGATAAAAATGCCTGAATTATACTGACCCGAGAACTTCAGCTTCTTGCTCTGGTCTCAGTCAGAGAGGGGAGAGCAGAATTCAACTCAGAAAAAACCACATATTTACAGTTTATCTAAGCAACAAGTTCATCCAGATCGCGAGAGGCTTTTGCTGAAGGTCAGAACTGCTCACCACTAACACGAATGCCAAGGAGAACTAACCTGATTTCCTGGTTTCATTTTGCTTGACTACAGACTAAGCAGAACATTTCTTTTTCCACCTAAGTGAAACCCAGACCCTCAGACAGTAATTTCTCTGAGTTGCTTCTGACCAGGGCTCTAGTGAAATCAGAAACTTCCACTCCACATGAACAGCGGCAGAAGCCAGATGTCCTTCCCTGAAAGAAATAACTCAGGTGTGTTGCACCCGTGACTGTGTCAGTGCAGGTGGCTTTATGGACTCACTAGAGGTCTCCTTTGGAAGAAGACTGTACTAGAATGAGTGTCAAGAGCTAAAGGGAAATAAATGCTTTGCAGTGAGAAATGGTACTACTTTTCTAAGGCCTTGTATAAAGCTACTTCAAGAATCTGTCAGGCAATACCAAGGAAGGATTTTTCTCACACAGTACTTACTTTAGTAAATAATCCTTAATTTGCTCCCCTGAAAGCATGATGTTTTCTCCACAAGACCCTGTCCTCTTACAGCTAATGAGAACTGAGCAGTGCCAATACCCTCGAACGAGAACAGGGTCTTCTTACATTTAAGGATTTAAGGTTACCTAGATAATTCCAGGATATCCTTCTGAATAAAGGCAACTAAGGAAAGGTTAAGATACCTTGCAGTAGTGTTTCTGTGGTGGTGCGCTGCTTCAAGATCTGCCTGTCTTCCCCTTCACTATCAGGTCCTTCATCCTCTTGAATCTCTACGTCGGAATCATCATTATCTGGTTAAAAGAAAAACAGTTGATAAATATCACTCAAACCAACCCACAACTCAGAATAGCAGTTGGACGCAAGAGATGCTAGCAGTCTCTACCTTTGTTCAAGTCCAAGATTAATTAAAAATGCAGTCACAGACAGCATTGGCTCTACTGATGAGCACAGGGAAACAGCCAACGTCCACATCCTAAGGAAGGCATCCTTCTACACGTAAGTGCCAAAGAACCATACAATATAAACAATGGTCTTGGGACAATTCTCAGATTGTATCATAAAGGTGCTGTTCTAAATACACTCTGTGGGTATGAAGCAGACGTACAGTCAGAAGGTGCTATTTCAGCAACTGATTTAGAGATAAAAATCTTTTAGAAGTGCTTGGAAAGCGTGGGCTTATTAATACATCTCCTAGTCTTTTACCCTGACATAAACAATATCAAAACCCGTCCCCTTCGACTTTTTGCCTTTCTTTTAACCACAGGTTAGAAAAGCACAGTGAGACCTCCCCAGATAAACAAAAGCGGTTACAGCCAAACCCAAGATGCCTGGAGAGACAAGAAAGCTTTGCAAGATGCAGGAATGTCTTCAAATATTTTCATAATCTGCCTTCTTCCTATCCAAACTAAAACCTCTTTAGTCCCTTACTTGGGACTAAAACCCCTTTAGTCCCAAACTAAAACCTCTTTAGTCCCTTACTCCCAATTCCCCAGTCACCAAATTGGAACAAACTTAAAAGAATTAGATTAAATTGTCCTTCGGAGGTTTGAAAGGATGACAAAAGTCTTCAGATACTTAAAAGTGCCTGCAAAGACAGGGGCAGACTGTTCTCCACATCAGCTGTATGAGTCCTACCTTAAGGTTCACATGCATGGTCAAACAAACTGATTCCCCTCTGAGCCTATTCTGAAATAAAACAGTGGGTGGAAAGTTGGTGCAGAAGTGTATGGAAAGTCAGGAGCAGGTTCTGCCTCATTTAAATCTCCTTCCATCCCATGAGCTTTTTCCCTCTCTCCTTTTTCATGCCAACCTGCTCGTGCAAGCTCCTTAGCTAAAAGACCAAGTTCTGCTTTCCAGCTACTGCCCACCTGTGATTATTTACTTCCCTCTTCAAACACTCAATCAATGAGCCAGATCCTCAGCTCCTATCATCTTACAAACTCTTCTCAGTTGTGTAGAGATGAGCCCCTCTCCACCAGATGATCCTGCAGGAGCTTATGGAATTAGCAGGGCAATGACAAACCCAACAGGACCCCAAGTGAGGTCAGCACCCAGCACAGCAACAATAGCTGTTAATTATTTAGAGAAAATAGGCAATTCTTTCCCAGGTACATTTAATTACACACATCTGAGCTGAAAATGGAAATAACTACTGTAATTATGATTAGTAATGAGCTGACACATCGTTGCAATATTTAATTATTGGACAATATACAAATATTAGACATTTTTCCATCATCTTTTTCATTGCAATATTAAGTTAATGACGAAATGTAACAGCAAGGCATGTATTTGATATCCTGCTAAGATTACGAGGCTCCAGCAATGTTAGCTACAATTTCTATTTGTGTTGCACTTTCTTCTTTGGCAAGCGAAGGAATCGCTCACTGCTGTGTGACCTGAATACTGTTTCTGTTTACCTGGTATTCAGGAAAGCGAGGTTTTGTTCAGCCCTTGCCCAGGCAAACTCCTTGGGAAGAGCCACGAGGAGCATAAATAGAGGATTTGGGTTCGTGCTCTGTATGTTAAAGAACGAGACTCTCTCATCTGTGATGGCTCTCACTGCTACTACTAAAATGCCCTCATGCTCATTTTGTGGGAGTTTTTTTAGTTCCTTTTTTCCTTTTTTTTTTTTGAGCGGCAATTCCTCTCTTTCAGGTTTTGCCATTTGTGCTCCTCCTGTTACGCAGCACCACTGGCCAGAACCGAGGATGCCGCAGAGAGCCCTTATGATTACTTTGCCGAACCATTTTAATTTCATCCCCATTAGCACTTTCTGCTTCTTGCTGGGATCTCCTGAGCATGAGCTGGCAGCTGAGATGGGGATTAATGGAGCCAGTGCTCTCTGCTGACAACCCAAAGCGGCAAACCCAGCAAACACCACTTTGGGGACAGGACTTAGAGCAGAGAGGCACAGCGATGCGATTCTGCTCTGGTTGGGGGCACGGCTGTAATAACGCAGGGCTTAAATTTTACATTTCACTTTTCTGGAAACCTTCTTTTTTAAACCTTTTGTGGTAACAGACTCTTGGCTATAACATGTAAAATCTATTTCCCTTGGGACAAAGCAGCAGTAAGAAGAATAAACAGGAATGAATCTGCCATCTTCTTTCTGCTGTACATAGAAGTGCTCTTTCCTAACTACCCACACCGGTGGCTTAATGCTCTCCTGAACCACGTGAACCCTTCCAGCTCCCTGAGTGCCTGCTGGGCACTCCAGTCATTTCTGACCCATTCCAACTTGCAAAAAGGAAGCTCATTTCATCATATAATTCCCCACAGTATCTTTCTATTGGAAAGGGACTTGCAAGAAGATCCTACGGTGAGTAAGTGCCTTGCAATAGAAGCAATACCTACCGTGGAGAGAGAATCAGTGGATGAGGGCCCCAAGCTGCTGCTTTGTGCAAGGAAATGGTTTAAAGACAGCTTTGTTTCCCCCATCACCCAGCCCTTTTCTTCTTTCCCTCAGGTTCTCTGCTATTCGCAATCCCCTCTTTCTCACACTATTTCTTTTATCCTTCTCCCCCGCTACCTCAGACTTTGTAACGCTCGCCTGTCAGTGATGAAGTCGCAGCTTGCTGGTGTTGAGCCCAGGTGTGGACGCCACAGAACACCTCTGGCAAGCCCTAGAAAAGTGGGCCTTCTGCCCCAGCTCTACCTCTTGTCTTTCAAAGCATGTTCGACAAGTCAAGTCAGTAGCAACTGTACACCTAGCATTCATTTACGCCTTTAAAAATCTTGGATTACCTTTCAATACAAATGAAAAGAAAATTCATCAGGTGAATTACCAGCATACAAATACATTGCATCACTTTTCCTACTGAGTTATGACTTTGAAATAAATTTTGTTACGGATCTGTGGCAACAGTTTTGATTTTCTCTGAATAGTGTAGCTGGAATTCTGATGCACATACCCTGACACAAAGCATCATTATAGCAAACGTATGCCAGAGGATCAGAGAAGTGGCAGCTGCCAATGCAAATTTGGCAACAGTAAAATTTCTGCCTCCAAGCCTCCTGCCCAGCACTTGGAAAGACATCGAGTACCTTTTTCATTTACAAAAAAATAAATGTATTGCTCTAACCCAGCCCAATGGCTGCTATCACCAAGCCCGGCTCTGTCCAGTATACAATCCGAGTTATCATCAGCTGAGCAGAACCATGCTGAGCCAAAATCCCAAGGACACAGAAGCAGAGCATGTTGCTGAAAATTTATTTAAATATACAAGATAGAGACAAGCTGAGTACAGGCTTCTTAGCAGGATTAAACAGCAGGCTGGTCCAAAGCTGTCTGTGACCTGTCCTAGCTAGAGCACTACATTCCTCATCGTACATGCCTGGTATGGCCAGTTTTCAAGAAAATATTCTTGGCATTCATAAAAAGGTGACAATTCAGAAAGTTTCATTTAACACCATGTAGAAAAAAATTACTTGTTGCCCTAGAAGAAGTGACAACTACATCTGTGTAATATTGCCTAACAGAAATTACAATGCATCAATTCCAGGGAGACAAGGAACATTCTTGATGGAGAAAATGTAGATTTTTCTCAGTATCAGCATAAAGCAATGAAGATAATAAAGCATACTACTACAAATTCCCACGTACTAGTACACGGAGTACAGAGCACATTCTAATGGAGCTGGCTTATGAGATTTGCATGGGTTTACGTGAAGATTATTCGACTTTTCACAACAAACTGCTATTCAGCAATCCACGTACTCAAATTTAGGCCAACACTGGCAACTTACTGGAGCTTAAGGCTGGTATTTTAACAAGTTCCTCTATTTTTACTATGAAAAGGTAATCAACAGAACAACTCTCTAAACTGTGTTAGGCCCACTTCCCCACTGCGATGATTTATTCTACTGCACGGAGGGTACTGGCAAAATATCAGACTACCTGAGAGAGAATACACTGGGATTTTAAACTCCACTTGCCTTACATTTCAACATTTCCATTTCATAAAGGTGGGTTTCCGTCAACTAAATTAGTTTCACTTAAGGCAGTCCAGCCACAAAAAGTACATCGTCGTTACAACTAAAAAACACTGCTCTCAGAAGATGTGTTATTTATTCCAAGGCACACCTACTGTTTCCAGAAAAAGCCAGAGCAGATACCTGGACTGTTAATACTATATTTAAATGATTTAATTTTAGGTAATTTGCAATGCTTGAAGGAAAACCAGCACGATTTAATAACTTACCAGTGATTTCATTACAGATTTGTTAGTTTGCATAAATATTCAAGTAAATGTATCCAACTGTAAAATAAGAAGGTACTGTGGTGAAGATAATGAGCACAGAGGACATCGTTTATTGATATGCTTTAGAATTAGATGTAAGTGTTGTTTAGCATGTTCAATTTCATAACAAAAATCACTACTTTGAAAACACAGGCACTGGCTTCACGGCA